CTATAAGGCAAGTAGGAGAAAAGAGAAGCAAAGAAAAACTTAAATAAATACAAAATCATGATGTGACAGATAGTGCTGGTTTTTCTCCCAGGTCTGTTTTATCCTCTATAGTGCTAGACTTGTGGCTGAGATTTGTGAGCTCATTTTTCTTTCTTTGTGCTAAGTGGTCCTGTAACTGAGTTCTTGCCAATGGTGTGTCCCAGATGGCATGTGTGTCTGTGCAGGGTCTAGGCCTTAAGATGGTAGGCTAGTTCTCTTCCTCCTCCTCTTCCTTCTTATAGCAGACATTGCACCATAAGTTTCCCTTGTGTGGATAAGGTCAAAGGTATATGAGAGGGATGCACTGTGGAATAAGAGACATCTGCCAATCTGAACCACTGATGCTTCTGTCCCTTGAGAAGGATGCACTGTGTGTGTGTGTGGGGGGGTCAGGGACAGTAGGAAGAAAGCGTTCTTACAAAACACTAAAAGTGAGTTCTCAGAATAGTTCTACAATATTAAAATTTAACCGTTTATTTTTGTTGTTTTATTTTGGGTTTTATGTTTTGAGACAGGGTCTCACTGCGTAGCCCTGCCTGGCCTCAAACTCATGGAGATTCACCTGACTCAGTCAGAATTAAAGGTGAGTGCTACCACACCCAGGTTTAACTGTTAATTCATAAGACACACTTGAAACACAATGACTTGGAATGCTGGAAAGAATAAAGATCTATACTAGGCAACCAGTAATGAAAAGAGGACGATTATAGCATACAGAACAGAATTTAAGGTGAGAAAACAATGGATAGATGCTTGAGTCTGTCCTGACTGCTAATAAAATACACTATTAATTAGACAGGTTGTAAATAACAAAAAAAATTCTTACAGTTCTGGTGGGAAGTCCAAGACTGAGCCTAGAGAGATCTGGTGTCTGGTGAGTGAGAGCCTTCTTCCTCATAGATTGCCCTATCCTCTCATTAATATCACATGGCAGAAAGGGGATGGGAGTCTCTCTCTAATCTCCTCCTCCTTTTCCTCTTTAAATCAATTCCTCCTTTCCTTAATTCAATTTTTTAAAGACTTATTTTATTTGTGTGTGTGTGTGTGTGTGTGTGTGTGTGTGTGTGTGTTCCTGCATGTATGTATGTGCACCATGTGCATGCCTAGTGTCTCTGGAGGCCAGAAGAGGGCGTTTGATCCCCCAGAACTGGACTTACCACCAAGTGGATACTGGGAACTGAACCCAGGTCCTCTGTAAGAGTAGCAGTGCTCTTTACTGCTGAGTACTCAGAGATCTGCTTGCCTCTGTTTTTCGAAGTGCTCTGATTAAAGGCATGCACCACCACACCCAGCTTTTACTTTATTATTATTTTATTTTTTATGTGTATGACTGTTCTGCCTGCATGCATGTAAGAGCACTTGGGTTGTGTAATTTCCCTTCTGCCTCTTTTTAGACAGGGCCTCTCTGTAGCCATGAATAATCACTTTAAATTTAGTTTCAGGGGCTGGAGAGATGGCTCAGTGGTTAAGAGCCCTGGCTGCTCTTGTGGAAGACTCGGGTTCCATTCCCAACAGCCACATGGTGGTTAACAGCTCTAGTTCCAGGTGGGTTCTGAGAATCAAATGGGACAATGGGTGAGGAACTGATTTCCTAGAGCCTCAAAAATATACCTCAAACTATATCATATAATTGATTCTTTCAATGAACATTTGAGAAACATCTGGTATGTGTCAAGAACTGCATTGGAAGTGAGGAAGATGGAGTAAGTCAGTTATAATGTTTGCTCTCAGAGAGATTATATGTAAAAACCAAGTTCAAAGAAGTCTTCTAAGGCATTATGATGGGGGGCGGGTGTCAGAGATGGCATTTAGTGTAGAGAAAGTTGCAACATGCAAGAGGGTCAGGAATAATTTCACAAGAAGGGTGACCCTTAGAGTGAACACTGAAAGATGGACAGGCGTTTGACAGACTGGGTAAGAGGAAGGACATTCCAGGAAGGACACAGAATAAGTCGCCTGAGAGGGCTGCCTGTAAGAACTCAGTGTTTGATGAAACTGGCAAAGTAGGCACTGACTAAGATGTTAAGACTTTAACCTGCAGGTAAAGGCAGCCACTGGAATTATTCTTTAATTTTATCCTTTAGGAGGCTAACTTTGGTGATGGTGAAAGTGATGGCAGATAGAGAAATAGTCAATGTAGAGGCAGCACAACTAATAAGGAAAGTAAAGCCAGAGAGATGGCTCAGTTGGTAGATGTACCTGTTGCCAAGCCTGATGACCTGAGTTCGATTCCCAGAACCCAAATAGTGAAAGGCGAGACTCCGGAAAGTTGTTCTCCGACCTCCCTGTGTGTACATGCGCACATGTGCTCACACACAAATAAAAATGAAAAACTAGTAAGGAAAGTAATGCAAAGCTTTAGGAGCTGGAAACAGGGGACTTTAAACCAGGCCAGAGCAGGGAAATGGAGAGGTAACAAAGGGGAACCATCCAGAGGGGGAAACAACAGAAGAAAGGAGCCTAGGATAAGTTTTGGCTTCTCCTTTGCATGACTAAGTGAATTGTGGTGACATTTATTGAGCATGAGACAAAAGAGAGAAAAAAATCAGCTGTCAGAGTATATGGGCTCCAGTGTGTGTGTGTGTGTGTGTGTGTGTGTGTGTGTGTGTGTGTGGTTATGGGAGGGTGCCATTTGGGAAGTGAGTATATAAATGAATAAGATTGGGATGTTCTGTATGATATACACACAAAAAAATCAACAAATTTAAAAAATGAGTTATATTTGAGGAAGAAGCATAAAAATTTACTTCATGTTAATTAGTAGAGGTGATAAACATTACCATTGAAATCTACCTAATGATTTTCTATCCATACTCAGGTGCCAAGGATCCGAGAGTAACTCACTGTGACTAGTAATAATCAGATGCATAGAGATTAGAGACACATATGCAAACATGCTAGTAGCATTAAGTCTGTAGGAATCAGTTTATTTTAAAATGAAATGGAGATCTTTGTTAAAGGTTAAAACATTCAATTTTATGTCTTATAGGGTTTATACTGAGTTCAATATTGTATAATGGTATTAATTCAACTGTGAACCTAAAAATTTACAGCCACTTTTGAAAGAGGTATCTTTGCTCTAGAAATTGTTATTGAATATGTTAAAGCTGTAATGAAATGCTTCTTCTAATCATGTGGTTAGTAAATACATAATTTTAAAAAATCAGCTGTCAGGAAAGCTCAGTTGTTTTAGATTGAGTTTAAGGCCTGAGGGGGTTGAGGCAGATATTTCTTTTTTAAAAACGTTTGTTATTATTTTATGTGTATGAGTGTTTTGCCTGCATTTATGTAAGTGCATCACATGCGTGTAGTGCCTGTCCACAGAGGCCAGAAGGTGTTGGACCCCCTGGTACTGGAGTTATTGACCATTGTTAGCTGCTGTGTGGGTTCTGGAAACCCAACCTCGTCCTTTGTAAGAGCAACAAGTGCTCTTGCCACTGAGTCATCTCTCCAGTCCCAAGGTAGAAACTTTTTGGTTGAAAAGTTGGCTCTGGGCTGGGCATATAGCTCAGTTGGTAGAGTGCTTGCTTAGCGTTCATGAAGCCCTGGGTTTGAGCCCCAGCTTATACCTGTAATCCCAGAGGTAGAGGCAATATGATCAGAAATTCAAGAAATGGAAATTTGTGAGTTCTCAGCATCTGGTTGGTAACTGAAAGCAAGGGAAGACAGGATCTGACAGACCACTCATTTCCCCCTACCCCACCCTCATTAGAAACAGACCAAGACTACCTAGGTGCCTCAGCAAGTAAGAGGAAACTAAACAAGACATAGACAGTATGAAGACCCAATTGACAAGGGGCCAATTTGAAGGACAGATTCAGGAAAAAAATCTAGTCAACAATGACAAACTTCGTAGACACGTCTTATAACACGAGAATTAGAAAGTATCCGTGGTTCAGGGATCTTCACATCCATTAGGTCATCTATGTCAGTGTAGCCTCAGTGGAGTGATGGGCACTGAAATCAGAATGACTTGCGGAGCATGCTGGATCCAGTCAGTGACTTTGAATTTTCGATTTCAAAACCTGTGAATGCATCTGACCAAATTAAAGACCACGAGAAGATGCTGACAGAAATCCGAAAGTCCAGGAGAAGAAATGACCTGTGTAAAGGCAGGCACTGCTGGGGTGGAACTAGATGGAAGGAAATCTTCATTCACTCCAGAAAGATGAGCTGAAGCGCTACTTGCAATCCCCCTCCTCCGAGGGCAGCCAGAAGAGACTTACCATCTGAGCGCTCTCTACGAAGACCCCTGTCCCTAATTTGAGTGTCACGCTAATTTGAGTGGACCGCAGACCTGCTCCTTAGCTGTTTTTCGTTTCACGAAACCATATTAGCTACTGAAAACGAATAAAAGCAGGACTCCCTAAGCCTAACTAACCTCTCTTGCAGACGGTAGCCCATCCCCAGTCTTCTCAACCTGGCAGAGTAACCCTTCTCTGGCTCTGCTGGCTGGGGACCGGTTCTGGGGTGCGAAGCTCTGCCTCGCAGGGTTGAAGGCAGTCACTGTCCGGTATGATTTCGCTCCAGCCTCAGCTCGGGGAGCCGGAGGGCAGGCGCAGGCAGGCAGCTTTTGGACAAAGGTGGGCACAGACTATGGGCGTCTGGAAGGCTGGAGGCAGCCGGAGAGGGACTCTGGGAGGCGTCCCCGGGGGTCGGGCTACCTAGCCCTGAGCTGCCTGTGATGCTCCCCGCGAGCCCAGTGGACGCCGGACCAGGGGCGCAGGCCACCTCTGTCCCTGCCGTCACTGCCCCGAGCCTGTGACCACCCGGCGGCCGCTTTCGGTTCCGCGCCTTATAAGGCCTGGCAGGGGGGTCACGTGCGTCCCGGGCCGCCCGCCGGGAGGAGGGGGCGGCTGAAGGAAAAGGGGAGGGAGCCGGGGGCGGAGGAAGGAGCTAGGGGCGGATTCTGTAGCCGTGGGAGGCGGCGGCGGCGGCGGCGGCGGCGGCGGCGGCGGCTGCGGTGGGGAGCCGAGCGCTAGCAGCCGCGCCGGGGAGCGGGACGCCGGAGAAGGAGGAGGAGGAGGCAGCGGAGGAGGAAGGGACCGGTGCGGGGGCGGGAGAGCTCGGCGGAAACCGGAGACCAGCGGAGGGCTGGTGGCTGGCCCCGGGAGGGGGCCTGGGCGGTGGCGACAGCGATCGCAGCGAAGGAGGCGCATCCAGCGGCGGCGGCCAGGCTCGGTGCGTCCCGGGCGGCCAGGCGCGGGCCGGCGCGATGGAGCCGCAGCACGTGCGCCCGGCGCTCGGCGCCCGCAGCCCGGCCTGGGAGGAACCGGTGGGTACCGCGCGCCGCCCACCCCTCCCTCTTGTCCCCTTGTCCCCTGCTCTCCTCCCTCCCGGCCCGGGTTCCGTTCAGGAAATGGCCGGGGATGAGGTCCCCAGCTGCTTCCCAGCCGGGCCAGCGCTTCCTCAGTCGTCCGGGCTCCTCCTCGCGCGCCGCCCTGAGCGCCTTTGTCCGAGGGGCCTCGGGTGACCGTCTCTCAAGGACGGTTTCCGCGCTTCATCCACTTCCCAACTTTTCTCTGGGTTTCCGAGCGTGCAGTGGCGGCCTGGGGAGAGGAGATCGGACGGTTGCGCGGTCAGCGTGTGGTGCCGGGAGGGGATCGGGCTCGCCTCGGGAGACCGCGCCCTGGCAGTCACCTGGGCGCGGAGGTTCCCGGGACCGCAGCCTCCGGAGGCTGTTGGTGGGCGAAGCCTGACTCCTGTCCGCCGCTTCTGCCCCGGGCTGCTTCAGGGGTCAAGATGTTTGGCCCCGGGTGGAGTGACAAGCTAACTTTGCTTTCGCTTGGGATTTCGCAGCACACGCCACGCGGAGACTGAGTCATTTTAGGGGTCCAGAATAGTGCGTGTGTGTCGTGTCTGCCACGGTGATAATTAGGAGTCCCGGGGGTTTTTGGATTTGTTCCTCAAACTCCTTTAAACTTCCTTCTTCCGTCTCAAACAGAACCGTCTCGTATCCCTCCGGGGAGTCCACCCAGGAATCCCCACCCCACGCAGACCCCTGTAATCTTGTGTGGGTATAGAATTTTGGCTGTCCACGCCCTGGCAGGATATCTGGACTTTCGCTACTCCCTTTTGGTTGAAATCATGAACCTGCCTCAAAAGTCCCGTCCGAAATGTCTGGTTTCATCCTTGCTGTTCGAATGCAATTTTCTCAGGGAGCCCCTGTGCTCAGGTGGGCCTTCTGTCAGGTACTAGGCTTGGTTCTCCTTTCCTTTTCTAATCCATAGACTTTCAGCCCTTTCGCCTAGGGTACGTTTCCCTGCCTCCTGTTTCCTGACCTTTCAGGAGTGTCCTTAGATTCTGATCCATCTGCATCTGCAGCTGTCTTTGCTTCTGTGAATTTGAACGTTAGGTCGCCCATCTGCCCTTCTCTCTTCTGTGGTTATCACTGGGGAGTAAGTTATTCTTGATTAAAAATACAGTTCAATTTTGACATTTCAGATAACTGAGAATTAAATCCTGTGACCTCTTTTGAACTTTATTATAGGAAGTCCTATAAGCCCACACCAATCACAATGGAGAAACACAGTAATGTCTAGTGATTCTCTTTGAGTGCTGATGCCAGAACCACTTTGCATTTAGAAAAAAATTAGAGAAAAACTCCTCCTCCCTTTACTTCTCCAGCTGTAAGAACCAAAGGGCTTATTTATTTTCACAGAAAATATTCGGTAGTAGCCTCCCCACAGGTACTTTTAAAACCTTCATAGAGGTGTGTGAACCAGTGGTGACACTTTATCCAGCCTGTGGAACTCATTAAAAAGTAGCCTTATTTTCATGAAACACCAAAGGCCTTTTATTTGCTCAGCAGATACTTTTATCAAGCACCTATCACGTTCTGTGATGTTTGGGTAACAACTCAGTCAACAACTCAGACACAAGAGTTTTGTCCTCAGAAAGCTTATAGTCTTTGCTAAACAAAATAACTTGTTTCACATATTCATATCATCCAGAAACTGTGTTTAAGTGTATAGCATAAAATATTTCTGGTAAGTGATCTTATTGTGAACCTTGTGGTCACACATGTAATAACTACAAAGTTTATTTAAGAATGAATAAAGGGAGGGGCTGGAGAGATGGCTCAGGGGTTAAGAACACTGGCTGTTCTTGCAAAAGACCCAGTTTCAATTCCCAGCACCCACATGGCAGCTGACAGTTGTCTGTACTCCAGTTCCAGGGGATCCGGCAGCTTCTTCTGACCTCTGAAGACATTGCACGACACCAGTACACTTACCTACATGCAGGCAATGCATGCATAGACATAAAATAAAAATAATAAATAAAATAAGAAAGCATAAAGGGAATTCTTTCAGCTTTTAAAGTTATCCCCTGCTTAAAAAAAGTAGCATATACAAGAAAAAGAATGCATTAGTGAAAGAAGTCATTAAATTAGACCTTTCAGGCATGTGGAACAAAGGGGAAGTCATTAGCTTAATCTAATATGTTTTGAAGGAACCTGGGTCCATCAAAATCAGTTTTTTTTTTTATTTTTTTTGTGTTTGAGACAGAGTCTCACACTGTAGTCCCACCTGGAACTCCCTGCAGTGTTCTTGCCTCAGCCTCCTGAGTGCTAGGACTACAGGCAGGATGGATCTCTCAACAATGAGATTCTTGATACTTGTTTGGGTCAGTGATCCCTCTAAGAATATGAATTTTCCTTCACAAATGGACCTTTATGATATATAGTCAAGCACCACTTAGCAGATGGGACAAGTTCTGAGAAATGTCATGTTTAGTCATTGTAGCATCACACAGTGTACTCAGAAACTAAGATGGTTATGACATCATTAACTTACACACACACTTTTATATGCCCATGGATTTGAGCACAATTTCAAGGGAATCAGGTTTCCTAAAGCCAATCTATGCACACTCAGACAATCGGGTTAAGAATACCTTTTTTGGGGCTAGAGAGATGTCCCAGAGGTTATAAGAGCACTGGCTGCTCTTGAAGAGGACCTGAATTCAATTCCTAGTACGAACATATCTGCTAACAGCTATCTGCAACTCCAGTTCCAAGGGAACCGATGCCCTCTTCCGTCCTCTGTGAGTACTGCACGACACAGGTGCACTTACATACATGCAGGCAATACATTCATACATATAAAATAAAAATAATAAATAAAATATTTAAAAAGAAAATACCTGTTTTCACTAGGTATGGTGTATGCACTTGGGAGGCAGGGGCAGGTGAATCTCTGTGAGATTGAGGCCAGCCTGGTCCACATAGCAAGTTCCAGGCCAGCTGGGGCTACAAGAAGACCCTGTTCTTCCCAATACAAAAACAGAAACAAAACAAAAAACAATAGCAGTTTTTGCTCTTTGCTTCCTGGTGGGTGCCACAGAACATGCAGCTCTTCCACGCTCAGGCCACCATAGACTGAGCCCCAGCCACCACACTTTCCCCACCAAGATAGAATGTATCCTGTCCAACCATGAGCCAAAATAAATCCTTCCACTCTTAAAAACAAACAACACACTAAAAAGAATACTTGTTTTCACTTGGACTCCATTTCTAAGTTCTTTAAAATCTTAAGATTCAAATATAGGGAACTTAATGCTTTACTGTAAAAGCTTGCAAATTTACATTTATAAAAAGGACTATTCAGTACTAAGTAAGTGGGATTACTGCACGCAACGGTGGGTACATGTAAGGATTTCTCTTGTCATTCTTCTCTGATGAAGCCTAAACCATGATGTTATGATTTCTACTATGCAGACAGAAAAGCAAATGATTTCTTGGAAATTGATGTGGCTACTTGTAGAGAAACAATAGCTGTCTAAAATGTCCCCATGTCTGGAGCTGAGGGTGTTTCTGGGACTTCAGGACATTCTTCAAGTGAGGGGTTGAAATTATTTAGTTAAATCAGAATATTAAAATTCCTAGCTTTGTTTAGATTACTCCGGCTGTGTATTGAGCCTAGAGAAGATAAATGATAGCACGTAAGTTTCTCTGTTTTCTTTGATGCCAGTTTTAGAATATAATCAAGTGTCAGTGACAATACAGGCATTACTTAAGCTTCAAATCGGAGTATTTGGGGAGCTGGGCATGGTGCTGGAATCACAGCAGTTAGTGAGGAAGGAGAGTTTAGGGTCAGCTTGGGTTGCATACTGAGACCCTGTATCAAAAAATCAAGAAAAAAAAAGTATTTGGGGGCTAGGATGTAGTTCAATGATAGAGCACTTACCTAGCACATACGATGATGACCCTGAGTCATCCCCAGTATGTGTCTCTGTCTCTGTCTCTCTTTTTCTTTCTTTCTCTTTCTCACAGTATTTTGCTGTTGGCTATGGGTGGGTAGGAAGCTGTTTAGCAGAGTAGTTCTTAATCACAACACTATCTTGGGTGGGAGGGAGGGAGCGAATAGGTAGGTAGAATTCTAGCAAAATTTAAATGTGTAGGAGTATTTACAGAAGTTTTTATTAGAGGGATGCTTGAGTCTATTTAATTTCCTAAAATTGTTTTTTATTTCCAAATGATTTTTAGTTTTTGGTCTTTTTGAGACAGGGTCTCCCTGTAGCCCCAGCTGTCCTGGAATTCACTATGTAGACCAGGCTGGCCCTGAACTCACAGAGATCGGCCTCCCTCTGCCTCCCGAGTGCTGGGATTAAAGGCATGTGCCATCACACCTGGCCCCCAAATGATTTTTATATCAATTGGCTTTTAGTATTAATGGACACTTAGAAATGGAAGGATTTCAAAGCAAAAAGGTCAAAATATAAATGAGCGGTAACATAGTTATGTAGTCTGCTAGGTAATGAAAGATTTTTGCCTTATGTGCAAGGATGAAAGGCTGTTTATATAATTGATAGCACTATTGAAGTTTAAATGTTTTTTTTTTTATTCAGGTAACAAGGAAATTTCAATGGTATACTTTTGAATGTTGAATTCTGAACATGTAATAAATAAGTAGTGTATTATGGAAATAGTTCTACAATTTTAGTCAAAGCAGATTCCAGGCCTGTACCTACTCAACTTGTGTTTTGGTTCTGTACTGATTAAGAACATGAGTCCTGAAACATGGTGGCCCTTAAGTACCTACTTGTGTTTTTCAAGGTATAACATGTAGCTCTCTGCACATTATTTTATAATTTGAATGTAAAGCCATAGAACATACAGGGATTAAACATTGCAAGTGACTATCAATGATCCAGTTTTTTAAAATTAATAGTGGTAATATGATTCAAAACTGCCTTTGTAGATGGTAATATACAGGCATTTAAAAAGTTTTAATCAGCATGATATTTAGCTGTGACTTACGCTTTTTAAAAACATGGGGCAGGCACTGATGAGGTAGCTGAGTGGTTAAGATGATGGACTGCTAAAAAATGGGGCAGGAGGGCCAACTGTGTGGTGCTGCATGCTTTTAATTTCAGGGCTCAGAAAGTAGAAGCTGGTAGATCTCTGCGAGTTCAAGGCCAGCCCTCTCTATGTAGCCAGTTACCAGGCTAGCTAGAGTTACACAATGAGACCCACGTCTCAAAAAAAGGGGTGAGGGGGCAGACCTCATTACATAGAAAACTAATTAATAGTTGGTTTCACTTATTTCCATTTCATCCTAAATATATGATTTGTACAGTATCCACATTTTGTTGTTGTTGTTGTTCTCTTTGGAGACAAGGTCTTGTTGTGTGATCCTGGGTAACCCAGGATGGCCTCAAGCTGTTGGCAGTCCTCCTGCCTCAGCTTCCTACATCCACATTTTTAATAGTAGTATGTCGGTGATGTGTTCCACAAAGAAATTTGAAAGTAACAATAATAAAAAAAAATGTAAGCAGCATCTAAGAAATTATTTGAAAATCTTAAAACACTAAGGAGAAAGGCAAGGAAGTTTTTATTAATCAAATAAGGCAATATGCCACATATTTGAGATTTCTTTCAATTGCCATTTTGAACTACATTAAAATTGTTAAGAAACTGAGATCTTGACATTGCTGTACTACTTTTAAGAGAGATGAAGTTGTGATGGTACAGGCCTGTAATCTCAGCATGGGGAGGATGAGGAAGGAGAATTACCACAACTTTAAAGTCAGATTGGGCTACAGTTGAGTTCCAGGCCAGCCTGAGGTGCACTGAGACTGTCTCAAAACAAAACAAAATTAAACAAAAGGTGAAGTGTATTACAGTTGGTATAGATTGGATATTCATTCTTGAAATTTTAAGATGTGAAAAGCAGCCAGTAGGTCAGGTATTTAAGTTGGGGATTCCTGGACTGTTTCTCAGGAGAGACAGTCTTCAACCAGGGTTTTTCATGCACTGCTTTTTATGGCAAACGAGACAGCATTCCTTCCTTTGCCTATACAAAGTTTCTTGTGATCCTCAGTTTCCTGTGTGTTGTAAATATTGTAGAGCAACAGTCATTTATTTAGCATGAACAGTCTTAGATGGGCTTTGCTTTCAAGGCACAAGTTTTAGAACTTGCTACAGGACTCTTTGAAGAGCAGAGCTGGCTTCAAGGCTAAAATTTTACAAGTAACAAACACCTGTACTTTGAAGAATTAAGCAGGAATTGCCCAGCTCCTGGATAGGAAGCTCTTCTAAAGTATCTAAGCAATCAGCTTTTGAATCAAAGAATGAGAAACTTAATCCACACTCTTCTTAGAAAATAGGCATGACCATTAGAATGGGTCTTTCAGTTTACTTCACCTCTGCCTGGATCCTGGAATATGCTGCTATATAAAACCTCAAGGTTTAACGCATGGATAGTAGTGATAACTGACAGACTGACTTTTGTTATACAGTGTGGCAAAGTAAGAACATTAGAATAGTAATGACTTGTTTTTTACTTTGGTCCTAGTTTGTGCTCTCAGTTTCCTCACAAAGACCCTTTACTAGGGGGTGTTTATGAGTGCTGCCAAACCATTAGACTTGTCTATTACCAAACAGCTGGCTGGGTATAAAGGCCATTATTTTGATTTTGGCTGTTGATGGACTTTGTGCACACTAGGCAAGAAGTCTACAACTGAGCTATATCCCCATTCAAGGCCAGTGTTTTTTCCTAAAGCTTTCCCAGAAAAATGTTCTTGTAGACACAGAATTTCATATTTAGAGGGCCATAAGGACTCTGGAAGTCCATTTTGCCCCACTCCTAAAGATTGAAACTGGAGAAATAGTCTTTATGTTCATGTAACATGGCAGTCATCTCTTGTGCTGAAGGATCTAAACACATTTTACATGTTAATATATTTAATTGACAATGTAATTACAGTATTGGGATTGCATATCATTTCTAAATCTCTTAGAGCTGACAGTGCTAACACAGAGATCAAATTTTGGGGAGTAAGAATGCAACTAGGGTATTTGGGAGCTTGTACCTAATCCTTAAAATATTTTAGGGATATCTCTTCAGAGGGGGGTAATGTTAGAGTAGCCAAAAGCCCCATAAAAGTAAATAAATAATTCAAAGAAGAAGTAAAAAACATCATTTAATATAGAAATAAAATTATATAAAACTTAAAAAAAAAAGAGTGCAACTAAGGAAAAAAATACAAAGAAAACCCAGAATCTTAGATTGGAGGAGCTTTAAAGGTCAAGTCAACTGACCAAATAGGAAAGGAATGAACACTGAATGGCAGGGATCAGCTAGAGAGATTCACTGCTCAACCCTGGTAGAGAATCCCGCCCCCCCCCCCCCAGTCTGGTGGGGACATCTTACCTAATTTAAAAAAAAACACCAGTGTGGAGTTCTCTTTGGTGACAACTGGAACTTGCCATTTTAGTATCTTCTCTACCAACGGTCCAAGACCAGTATTAAGTTTTCTGAGGCTGATGTGCTCTCAGTAGAGAGGCTGCTCTTCCCAATTGTGCTTAAGTTGCTTGCCCAGGATGGTTCCAGAGCTAGCGGCTTCAGCCTGTTGATCCCATTTCCTCCAGCTCTGGTCCGGGCTAGGGAGTGGCTCTCCCAGGACTCCAGAGTTTCTCATTGTGTAAAGTAAGTGTCTCCTAACTTTCTTCCATGCAAGTCCATCCACTGAAGTCTAGTCAGCCTATTTAAAGTCACTCCCTTAAAGAAGATCAATTCTCCCCCCACCCCGTACTTTGTTCACCTAACTGAGTGCCTTGTTTTCTTCTAGGTAGTCTGGATGAGCGTTTCAGATTAGACATTTAGCATACAGTCTTGGGCTAAGTGTCTTCTCTTGTTTCTACGCTCTCTCCACGCCCTTCCCAGTTTCCTGTTAGCCAAAGGGAATCGCTCTTTTTGGACGAAAAGTTCTCAGAGCGGAGCTGAACCTCCCGGAAAATGCTGTTCTCTTCCGTGTGCGCCGGATGGGGGTGGGTCAGAAACTAAACACCGCTGTCGGGAGGGACGAAAGGACCCGAACTTCCCCACGAAGGCGGGAGAGGTATGGTCCTCCGAGGGGGAATGGGGGTCGTGAGACACCATCTGTCTGCAGGATGGAGGGGACTTCTACTTAGCTGGGACCGTGCTACAAGTCCGAATGTCTGGAGAGAGCCGGGGTCCTGGAAGTGGATGGGTGCTCCAGAGGGAGTCAGGAGGAGCAAGCTCCAGATTCCCTTTTACGCCTTGGACCTTCCTCCCCACCCCCGAGGGAGGAGCATCGCCGCTGCCTGACCTGCGGTCGGGGCTGGCTGCGGAGATTTCCTGTCCCTCTCGACTTTCTAGTCCTAGAAGGAGCAGGGGGGAGGTTGATCCACCGCACGACCTCCATCCTTGCACCCCGGTGCTGGTCGTATTCTGGTCAGGAACCCCAGAACATCCCGAGGCTGGGTGCGCAGGTGAGCAGGGATCCGCGTGCCCTGTGCCCCTCGCGGAGGCCGGCTGGGAAGCGGGCAGAGGAACCCGGTGGTGCTCCCCCGGGGCTCCCGCGTGTGGTCCTCACGCAGCCCCGTCGCCCCGCTGGGCGGCTGGGACAGCGGAAGATGGCGGCAGCTGGGCGCGGGGTTCGGGCGCTTGGCCTGACCTATCCTCTGACCGCCGCCCCTCGGGGCGCTGCTATGTCCCCGCAGGAGTCGGAGAGGATGGCCGGGGCCGGCAGCCAGCACCACCCTCCCGACGCCGCGGGAGGAGCGGCGACCGGGGAGGGCGCCACAGTCACTCAGTCGGCTGCCTCAGCCGGTGCGGGAGAGGATTCGTCCGACAGCGAGGCGGAGCAGGAGGGACCCCAGAAACTGATCCGCAAAGTGTCCACCTCCGGGCAGCTCCGGACCAAGGTGAGAAGGGGCCCGCGGGCCTGCGGGAGCGGCGGGTGGAGGGAGCGTGCCCTTGGGTCCTGGGAGGGGCGGGGCCTCGATGGGGGCGGGGCCGGGCGCCAGGAACGCGCTGATGCGGTGGACGGAATCCCGTCCGGGGTCGGTTTCCGAGCGCTCTGCTGGCGGAGACCCCGGAGCTGGAGCGAGCGGCCTGGCGGGAGCGTGGGAAAAATTCAAGCCCCATGACGAGTTCCCACTTAGGGAAGTTGAAAGGGCTGTTTAGGGTTTGTTTTTTTTCTTGCCTGCGGAGCTGTGGTTCGGTTTCATGTGCGCACTTGCAGGCCGACCTGCCTAGGGTGCTGGGTGCACGCGGGGGTTCCTTCCCACTGCTACTCAATGGGCCAACCTGAGAGAACGGGAAGGGGGTGACACCAGGCGGCTTCCCTGCCTCCTGCTCGCTTTTTCTGCTGATTGGGTGCTGTGCGAAGACACTGGCCAGGCCTTTGTATCGCAGGATCCCACTCAGGGCAGAGCTCAGAGCGCACATCCGTGGTTCTTCCTTAAAAAGTCACCTCTTTAGGGGACGTGGAGTCTATGCGGAGTGGGTGTGGTGCTGTTACACCTGTTTAGGGAGTTATGCCGGCCTGTGAGGTCTCAAGAGTTGAGCTTTCATTTGATCATGAACATACACAAAGCAAATAAATGCTTATGGGTTTTAACGGATTTATATAGTAAAGTTCATCTTAGTCTAAAAGTCTTCACAGACTTATCAGTGGGGGACTTTTAAGGAAGATTTTGAAGAAAACAGTAAAATCATTGGGTACTCCTTTACAAATATACTTGCAAAAGTCAATTCATTGTACAGCTAGTTTCATGAAAATTGCTTTCTCAGTGGAGTCCTGTATGAAAACAATTTTTGTTGTATGCCCATGGATTACTGTTTGTCTTCGTTGCCTGCTTACTTTCTAAGATGAATAAACAGATGTACACAGGTCAGTGGCTGTTTAGATGTACTTGACTCTTTAAGTCAAGGATTGTTTCTGCAATTGATTTAATTACATCTTGCAACTTTTAAAAATAGAGACCTTTGAGTTTTAGAACATGTAATAAATAATTTGGGACTTAGAGTATTTCTTGACGATTAAAGATAAACAATATGGACTTTTCCTAATGGTGCTTTAACATTTAAAATCTTAACTTAAAAAACGCATAGTACTGGTTAATAATGAGAAAAATGGCAAGTTGGAAAATGGCATATATTTATATGAAATGGTAAAAATTCCATGTGTATTAATATCAAAATTAGCTAATAGAATGTAGATCGTTTGGGAGAGAATTTAGAGTAGGTCCTAAATTGAATAGAGTAAATAAGTTTGAACAACAAATTTATTGGAAAGTACTGCCACTAAAATTTGGAGGTTTAATGAACTTGCATTAATAGCTAAGATTATAGTGTTTAATTTTGAGATAAAGCATTTATGAAGACAAATGTAAAAAGCATATTTATTTTTTGCCTTCTTTCCAATAAAAATATTTGCCACAATTATGGATAATCATCAAATGCTGAAATAATGCTTCTGACATTCAGTACAAGAATATCAGAAATTCCATATTTTATACTTGCTCATATATTAGGATTCATATAAGTTCATCAATATTTTCATATATGACCATCTGAGATCAGGGCCTTATGTTGCTGAGACTAGTGAGCTTCAACTTTACACTCTACCCACAGCAATCCCAACCACAGACACATTCCCTAAACTCCATCACTGTGACTCTTATCATATACAGGCTTTTGAGGGGAGAAGATGAGGTCACTGGGGAGTTTATACAAGCAGAACTACTAAAGGTGTAATCCAGAAAAGAAGAGAAGCATCTTTAGAAGAATATAGATATTCTATCCCTCTTCTCCAAAGGTGTGTAAGATGGGAGACCCTGGAAGAGAGGCACAAGTCTCAGGTCTAGCTCAAAGCTTAGTAGTTTTAAAGACAACACTGACAGTTCTTGCTTATAGACTCTGTAGGTGCACCAAAGGACCATGTGGCATGAGAGTTTGGAATTACTTAGTGGTGACTTGAATTCTGTACACATATACCTATACACAACTGCTTACATAAAGATGTGTAGATATGCTCTCTATCAAGCATTTATATGTAGAGACCATATGTATAGACATATGGCCTATAGCAGAGTGTGTTGTGTATAGAAGTAGCAAATACTTCTCAGGGCTGGGAAGATGGCTCTGTCTGTAAAGTGCTTGCTGTACAAATCAAGGACCTGAGTTAGATCCTCATTACCCACATTTTTAAAAAGTCAAGTGTTGGGAAAGTAGGAGGATCCCTGGGGCTTGCTAGCTGAATCATGGAGCTCTAAGATCAGGAAGCAACCCTGACTCAAAAAATTAAGGTGATTGAGGAAGACACCTGACCTTGGCCTCTGGACTCTGCACACACGTGCATCCCCACACACACTGTGCATGTGAATTAAATACTTATGAATAGTGCTTCATATTGTGAATCTCTTTATTAAAATATAGCTAGTAGGCTGGGCATGGTGGTGCATACCTTTAATTCTAGCACTTGGGAGGCAGAAGCAGGTGGATCTCTCTATGAGTTTGAGGCCAGCCTGGTCTACTTAGCAAGTTTTAGGCCAACTGGGGCAACAGGGAGACCCTGTCTCAAAAAAAAAAAAAACATACAAATGTAGTTAGTAGTAATTTTAGTTCCCTTTCAGAGGCTTAGAATCATTAAGCTCTTTGGTTGGCAGTTTAGAGTTAAAGTGGAAGGTTGGGGAAGCAGCTCATTGGTAGAGTGCTTGTCTAGCATGAGTGAAACCCTGGGTTTGATTCCCAGCACTGCATAAAAACAAGGTGTAGTGGCACATACCTGTAATTCCAGCACTCAGGGGATAGAGGTAGGAGGATCTGGAGTATCAAGTCAGTTTGAGTTACATAATAACCTGTCTCAAAATCAATCAAACAAAAAAGATCTAGAGTTTAATTACCTTATTTGAAGTGTTCTTGTAAATCCTGGTTAATATTTTAAATGATTTGCAGGTTAATAAAGGACATTAAGTTACATGAGGTGTTTGAAAAGTAGATTTTTTTGTTATTTTATGTGAATGGGCATATTGTTTGCATGTATGTAAGTGCACCTGTGTTGTACAATGCCTGAGGAGGTCAGAAGAGGGCATCAATTCTCCTGGAACTGGAATTATGGATGGTTGTTAGTCATTATGTGGGTACTGGGAATTGAACCCAAGTTTTCTGCAAGAGCAGTCAATGCTCTTAACTGATGAGCTATCTCCCCAGCCCCTGAAAAGCAGACATTTTCTTAATTGAAAAAGTAGTATAAGCTGGCAATGTGGTATGGTAATTCCAGTAGTCAGGAGGCTGAGGCAGGAGGATGGTGAATTTGAGTATAGCCTGGACTGCATGAGACAATGTCTGAAAAAAAATGGTAATACATATATAAAATTACAGTCTTTTAAAAAACATTTTATTTTTATGTGTATGAGTATATTGCCTGAATGTAAGTGAGTGCACCCATGTCTTGCAATGCCGTGGAGGTCAGAAGAGGGTTTCAGATTCTCATGGAACTCGAGTTAAGAATGGTTTGCAGCCACCATGTGGGTGCTGGGAATCGAACCCCGGTCCTCTGCAAGAGCAGTAGTGCTCTTAACCACTGAGCCATCTCTCCAGCCTCAAATTACACAGTCTTAACAGCACAAGAGCTTGAATAATAGCCAGTATAAAGTAACCGGTCTCATCCCAGACCTTAGGTTTCCTTCTCAGAAACATGCATAGTGCTTCCAGAAAATTTCTATGCACATACAAGTGCATGTGTGTATATATATATGTGTATATATTTGCATGTATAACATACATGTAAGGATATATAAACATGTACATATATTTTATGTATGCAGACTACATATATATTTATTTAAGATGTATAGCCACATGTGGTAGCGTACACCTGTAATCCTGGCACTGGAGAAGCAGGAGGAGTTCCTCAAGCTCAAGGCTTGATATAGAGATAGAGAAAGCTCAAGGCTTGAGATAGATATAGAGAAAATATCAGTATCTGTTTTTATATACATAAGTATTTACACATATAAACATATATTATATATAAGTATATATAATACACATATGAATATATACCTGTTTCTTTAAAATGCTACTAGGAACATAAAAGTGTCTTTTTTATATCTACTTCATTGTTTTCAGTGATGGCAGTCTATCTAATCAACTTACTAAGTTGAGCTATACAAAGTTGCCTATCAAAAATGGTGTAGGAGAGGCAGAGGCAGGCAGATCTCTGTGAGAGCAAAACCAGCCTGGTCTACATAGCAAATTCTGGGCCAGCTAGGGCTATAGGAAAATCCTGTCTCAACAAAACAAAACAAAACCAAAGAATTAGTGCAAGGTAGGAAATATCATGTAGTTGAACCTAACATAGTATCGGGTCATGTAATCTGTGGAAGGAAATGAGTGGTTCCAGGGCATTCATCTCAGCTTTTTGTAGTGGATATGCTGTTTTTAGGTAAAAAATTGTGTGTGTGTGTGTGTGTGTGTGTGTGTGTGTGTGTGTGTGTGTGTGAGAGAGAGAGAGAGAGAGAGAGAGAGAGAGAGAGATAAAGATGGAACCTTGGGCCTCACACATGTTAGGCATTCACTTTGCCCAGCCCACGAGTAAGACTGGTGTGCTTGTAAGGTTAACGTAGCTTAACAAACTCCTGTGTGTCGTAGTGCCCTCCTCACATCCTCGTGTTGTATGTGATCTTTGTTCCCCTTTAGTTTTCCACTCCCACCCCCAAGGTTTCTTAATACATCTTTTGTCCTATTTACCTTTTTTTCTTTCTCTGTTTTTCATGTTTTTCTTTTCTCTGTATTAGCCAAGTAGAATTTCAGGCAATTTCAGGCAAAACAGATAGTTTTGTGGCCAACTTAATTTCCCAAAGGCAAAAACTCATGCAGAAGTTAATGTGGTGCTGATGGGAGAAAGCCAAATGGG